TAAGATGTTCGGAAATTGTCGTTGCAATGCAATATGTTTGGATTACATGAAGTAGAAGGCATGATATTATCGAAAAAATAAAAATCAGCTAATTTTGACCTTTTATGACTATGTCTACGGATTGTTGTGATATAAATATGGGATATTGGTTGATGACAAGGTATTTATAAAACACAATCGTACTTTTCTGCCCCCTGTGGAGAAAGGATCAATATTAAAGAACTGTCTGTATTAAAGTGATGCTATTAAAAATACCAACTTCTAACGGGAATTGAAAATTATCCTTTGCACTTCAAGAGTAGCTAAGTCGGTAAAAACAAGGAAGCCAATTAACTGTTTGTTACTTTAATATTTTGATTGTCATGTTTTCAACAATAAACAGAGATGGGCATTTAATATTCTCAACAATAACAATTCTAGGTTTGATTTCTATTTTTCGGACAAATATTTATTACTTTGAGACTGATTTCTGCCGAGGATTTCTGTTCGTTATTAGTAGCTATCGGTCAGAAAGGCACGTTTTACGCAATAATGATTGCAGCAATATTTTCACACACCCCGGTTTTTTCTTTTCCGAATTTTTAACAAATTAAGAATTTTTAGTGTGCATTATTTTATTGATATTTCCTTTTTATTGATTATTGCAGTCTAGTTTGGGAAAATTGCAGCAATTAATTGCACGATAAGATGCAAAAAAAATGCAAAATAGAGCGGCAAGAATAATTACTGGCAAATCATATGAAATACGAACAAGTGAATTGCTAAAAGAGCTTAATTGGCAAACACTTGAGGAAAGAAGGGAGAGCGGGAGATTCACATTCATGTGTTAATGTTAAAAATCAGGAAGGACCGGCAAATATGGCTAATTTGTTTAGATTCTCTAATAATGAAAAATATGACCTTAGAAATAACGGAATTAATTTTCAAGTGGATAAACCTAAGACTAATTTCCTCAAAAAAAGTATTAGCTACTCAGGGGCAAAATGCTGGAATAATTTGCCAAATGAGATTAAGGCAAAAGAAATGACGATGGGACACAATATTTTGTATATATTCTCTTAGACTTTAACTGTGTGATAATTTATATTATATTATATTTTAGATGTAATTTTTATTAAACTTTGTAAATATTAGTTTAAACGGCCTCATGAAAAACGGATCATAGGTGTTCTGAAGAGCTACCGTTTTAAAATATTTGTAAATAATAATAATAAATTGATATTTCCTTTCCTGTTCATTAATACTGAAAAATTTGTATTTTCCGATGTATTTTTGTACGACACGACTTTGTTTATCTGATTGTCTCGCTTTATGAAACATATAAACCTTTATATTTTTCGCTGTGTAATATAAATAAAGTCTGTATCGTCTATGAAGAACAAATTTTGCACTCGCTCGTTCGTTTAATTTGCGAAAACAGATTATAACGCGTGCGTAAATACCACACGTAAGTATTTCCCATGAAAAAATCTTTATATACTATTCGGTTATCCGGTTATCCGGTTATCCGGTTATCCGCTACCCGGGTTTTCTACCATGCCATATGACTCCGTGTTTTCCATATTTTTCTCTGACGTCAGACTCCGTGTTTTCCATATGACTCCGTGTTTTCCATATTTTTTATGACGTCAGACTCCGTGTTTTCCATATGACTCCGTGTTTTCCATATTTTTATGACGTCAGACTCCGGGACTCCGACTCCGGGACTCCGACTCCGGGGCTCCGGGACTCCGACTCCGTGTTTTCCATCTAACCGGAAATTTATACTAAAACAATTAGTCGCCTCAGGCTCGGTGATTACAAGCCAATATTCACTTCGCCTTCGGCTCAGTGAATATAGGCTTGTAATCACCTCGCCTTCGGCGACTAATTGTTAAATGGTAAACTGGAAGGCTAACTGCTATGATGAAGGCCTGTGATTTGATGAAGCCAAAATAGTTTTTCTGAGTTATGAGCGGAAATACTTGATCCCAAACGTTGGGCTATATATCAAACTGAAGCTATTGAAAATCGCTATCGGGTGTGGAAATTTCAAGACTGCAGCGAAAAGAAAAATATTTTAAAAATACAAAAACGATAAAAACCACCGCTATTGGGCGAAAAATGGCAAATTATCGGCAATTATTTTTTTACTTTTTAAATATTTCCCTTTTAGCTAAAGTCTTGAAATTTCTACACCAGATAGCGTTTTTCAATAGGTTCAGCGTCATATACAGCACAACGTTCAGTGTTGAAAAACTAAAATGCACTGGCTTCAATCCAACCTCGTACCCAGGATCTTTCTTATGGAAAGACCCTGGCGAACGCTGGTCACGTGTCTCCCATAATATGGGAGATGGAAATTTTGTCTTACTAGGGAGGGGAGGCTTCGTACAATATTCCAAGGTGAGCGTAAACAGAGTTATTTACATCGTATATCTAAAGCCAACGATCTAATTTATTGAAAAGTTTACAATTTCCATCTCCCATATTATGGGAGACACGTAACCAGCGTTCGCCAGGGTCTTTCCATAAGAAAGACCCTGGGTACGAGGTTGGCTTCAATCCCCCCCCCTTCCACACTGAGTTAGCCTTCCAGTTTACTTATAGTTCAAAGGAGCAACCTACCAGAGCCTCTGAACCGCGCAAAGGCCCTGGGTACGAGGTTGGGGTTAGGGGCGAGTTTCTCAAAAATAAAAATGTATACGCCAACCTCGTCCCCAGAGCCTGGGAACGAGGTCGGTATACGCCTGTTTCATGATATGATGGCCGTATGATGCATATGTACGTTTATCATACCTTAGGGACCGGTCATTAATAATGGTGGGAGGCGGGGCGGCGGGTGATAAATACTTTATTGGACATTTTTTTTAGAGCCGCCCTCAATCGCAAGACCTTTATCAGTTCAAGATGCCCCACCTCCATCTAGAAAACTTAGGACCCCCTCCAACATTTTATTCGTTACATTTATTGGTGTAAAATAAGTAATGGACAAGTACTGGGGACCAGTATTCAAAATGGTTGTTATTTACTCCTATCCTATGGTGAACTGCATATACATAATAAAATATGGAAACTACGATTATAGGAACTAAAAAAGGTTTAAATATTTTGAAAATGAGTAGGAAATTATTAAAAAATTGGGGTTGCCCCTTGTCACATATTTTTTAGTTTGAGGCCGCCCCCAATTCAGGCAAAAATAGTTGAAGCCGCCCCTTTTCTCGCCCACCGCTCCCCCTCCCATTATAGCCCATTATTAATGGCCGGTCCCTTATGGTGTTTACCATACCAGATGTATATGTTTACCATCATATGGGTTGTGCACAGGTGATATATAACCCAAAAGAGGAATAAAACGTTTGTACATATTAATATAAAAATATCGCAATATTATAGAAATTTTCGACGTATATACAGGGGCCGGTTGTTCAAAGCTGAATTAGTGCAAACCCTGGGTTAAGATAAGCCTGTCGGTTTGGTTTGTGTATTTCTGCAGGTCTTAACTTTAGAAAATAAAACTTGTTTTGACTATTCGTGCAGACAAGATTTCTGGAAAAATATTTCCACATTTGTAAACACGCTGTTGAGAAGATCGCTTTGCAGTTTTTTGTTAACCTAGGAACAACTTGAAAACTTTGAAATTAACCTTTAGTTAACCGGCTTTATTGAACAACGGGTAAACAACCGATCTGCAAGTTCTGCAAAGCGTATTGGCTTACGGTACTTTCCAGCGTTTACCACGCGAGTTTTCGAATTGATCATTGTCTCTTGTTTATATCATCCACCAGACGCTGATAATACGACCATGAGCGAATACCTGAAGTCCACATTAGAGATGGTCGAGACCCAATTTTCAAACAGTGCCATAATACTAGCTGCATGAGATTTCAATAAGCTAAGCTTCAAAACTGCAGCTAGGTGCTATGAATTGAAGCCTACAATAAACTTCCCTACCAGAGGTTCAAACATTCTTGACCAAATATATACAAATATACAGAATTATTATCAATCTCGAACAAAAGACCTTAATTCCCTTTGGGTTGTCAGATCATATAACTATTACTGTATTTCCAAAAGTACGTGAAAGATCCAAACAACAAAGGAAGACTATCAGTATTCGTCCAAGGAAACGCAGCACAATCGCAAGTCTCGGCCGATTCTTCATGGGGATCTCATCCAAAACAATTTGGTTTTGTGCCCAATTCATGTTCTACATTTGCTTTAATTTCGATGTTGCATCGCTGGTTGGAAAACACGGATGGCACTAATGGCACTGGTTCGCGCGTCAGGGTTGCACTTCTGGATTACAGAAAAGCGTTTGACTTAGTGGAGCACAATATTTTAATTGCTAAACTTGTTTAGTCTTGGAGTCAAACCGACTGTTGTAAATTGGATTGTTGACTTTCTACGTGGCAGATCACAGCGTCTAAAGCTTAATTCTGACTGCTTTTCAAATTCCTAAATAGTTTCAGGTGGAATTCTGAAAAGGTACCATGATTGGTCCTTGGCTATTTTTAGCGATGATCAATGATTTAGCGATCCCTGTTAACTCCTCTGACTTGTGGAAATTTGCAGACGACACCAACAGTTTCCGAAATAATCTCAAAAAGCGGATCAAGTGGACTACAGGAACAGGTGAATCAGATAAATTGCTGGTCGAACAAAAATAATTTTCAGTTAAATTCTCAGAAATGTAAAGAGCTCCGTATTGACTTTAGTAGGTATATCGACATACAGACGACCCAATAACTGATCAAACTTTATACTTTATACTTTATTTAGAAATGGTAAATACATTGCAGCCATGAGCTGAATTGCGTATTATACTTACAATTAAAAATTATTAAAAATTAGAGTTTTGAAATATATCAAAGTATTATAATTAATTAACTAAATTGTCAAAAGTGTCTGTTTATAATAAGCATGCAAAAGTTATTAAGAATATAAAATAGGTAACTGAAGAATAAAACCTTTTCAGTTTCGCTACTCGATGCCATAATAAAACTATTACTAAACCGATTGGTTTTACAAACTGGAACGTCAAAAGATCTAATAGATCTCAGGTCGTGGATGGAGTTATGCCTTGGAGGCAAGAGGTAATGTAGACTGTGATTAGAATCTTTGATAATTGCATTAAACAATTTCTTGCAGCTGTTTTGATGGTGAGTGGAAAGATGTTCAATTCCACTGAGATTTAAAGCTTCCTCATATTTCAAATGGGGATAAATAATTCCAAATACGCGTTTCTGGACTCGTTCCAAATCTTGACTTAAATACTTGGGTAGGCTGTAGTGGAAAACCGGGACAGCATAGTCCAACACAGATCTTATACAGGTTGTGTAAAATGTGATTAGTTCTTGTATTGGGATTTTTGCTCTCTTAAGTTGAATAAGGAAATATATCCTTTTGGAGGCTTTCTTGACTAATTCAGTGATATGTTTATTCCACGTAAGGTTGTTGCTAATGTTAAGACCTAGCACTTTAAAATCGGATACAACTTCTATGATTTGATTCTCAATTGAAATTGGGTTAAGCTTGGGTTGATTCCGTGCAAAAGAAATTCGTATCTCCTTACATTTATCAGCATTTAATTGCATTCTATTGATATTGGACCAATCTAAAATTTCATTTGCAATCAGTTGAGCTTCACTGTGCTCGCCTTGCAAACTTTTGAAGTCATCCAATCTGCCAAAATTGTTGGTGTAACTATTAGCCACAAGATCTTAAATGGAATGATCATGTAACCGAGATTACCCACAAGGCATCAAAGCGGCTATATCTTCTATAAGATTGATCCTCTGGAGTAATTTGATTTCCGATATGATCGTATATCAGAATTACAATGCGATAACTGAAACAGCCTTTTGCTTTTTCATGAAATATATTTTGGGGCACTATCTTATTAACATTCTAAACTTCTTATTTCATTAGAGCATGTAAAACATGGAACATATTGGGCTGTGATCTTCGTCACAGAGATATTGGTCTGAATACCTTTAAATCAAAACTTAAGACATATTACGAACACGCGCTATCCAAAATATACAATTGTGACGATCCACGCACATGGAAGTCCATATGTGTTAAATGTAGAAGGGCGAGGTCCCTGGACGGTGTTTTAAGATGTTGCTAGTTGCATGTATGTTATGTTTTGTTGTATGTTATGTTTTGTTGTATGTTATGTTTTGTTGTATGTTATGTTTTGTTATGCGTATTGTCAGTTGTCAGTTATTAGATTATTCAATATTAATATTAACGTGATTTAGATGTAATTAAGGACCCGCCGTAATTGGGGACACTGTGGCGAGTATCCTGGCACTACATTGTTATAATATAAATTTAGTAGTTGTCGAACATTATTAAATCATTAAATCAACATGCAGATTCAATACAACCCAAGCAGTCAATCAAATCGTTTTAATATGCTACTATTACTAATTTCCCCCCCAAATTACAAGAACAATATTTTATTTTAATGTTGGTATTCTATTTAAAAAGCAGTCATCAAAAATCATCAAGGAATTCTTCAATTCTATGTAGTTTGTAGACGTTTTCTGGTTTTAAAATATCTATTTAGTACGAGCTTTCGACTGTCAGTCTGCAGTCTTTAACAGCTTTCAATGGGTGGATTACAATGAGAACGTCTACAAACTTATTACTTCTATGCTAGTCTTTTATAACTCGTCCGTTGTAATCAATCGGTACTCCTGGGGGGACACACTGAGAACCTTGCTGTCTACCAAACCTATCAACCTTTGAACCTTCATCAGTTGGCGTAATCAAAACACTGTCTCTTGATGCTATTGAAGGATCTTCATTGAAATAATTGAATGGTCGAAGAAAGAATCCAGCATAATTACCAGGCGTTGATGTGTTGGGAATATCTTCTGAATGAGGTATATGCATGACCCCTACAGTTATCCATGAAACTAAATCTTCATCTACAATGCTCTCGTTATCCATAATAAACTTTTTGAAGTCCACGACAGGATTGTACACATCATTTTGGTTATAAATAGATGAACTCCTATCCTCTGTTTTCTTGTATTTTGTTACTGCAAGTTGAAAGTGCGACCAACTGAAACCATTTGTAAACTGCCAGTTTTCTGGATACAATTGATGAAGTATACCATTGAGTTGAACACGATATCCCCGTCGGACACCCTGAACATTTTTCTCGGCTGAGTTATAAAAATTCAGATACGATGGATGTTTAAAATCAAATTTGTAAGCAGCGTCCACTTCAGTTTTCTTTAAATCACGTACTAGTCTTTTTTGAACATGACGTTTATTTGGAAACCACGGTGAGGAAATGTTTTCAATTTTTGAGCTTATAGTCTCAAATCTGTTTTTTTGACCGGCAACATCTAGATCAACTTTATAGTGTATGATATGATCATGTATTGTACCAGCGACATTTTTATGTACTTGATTGCCGTAATCATCTTCTTCAGGTGTCCAAAATGTGGATTGTATACTCCCTGTGGTAGAAACCTTTGCTTCAATGACTCCATTAGGATAAAATATATAATCATATATATAGTCATAGTTATATGGTGTGGATATTGTTCTGAAAACAAGCCCTGTACCTTGCATTCCTCCATAAAAAGTATAACTACCTTCAAAGTCATTTTCAAAATGGCGGCGAAGCGGGATTGCTAGATTGTGTTCAAAGATGCAAACAGCATTACGACGTTTGCTCGGATGAGAGGAGTCAACGAAATATACAACATCGAAGAAAGTCGCAGTTTTAGGACAGTCAACACCTTTTACAAGTTCAAAATAAGCACCAATGGCCCAGGCGGTATCAAGATAGTTAGTGTAAGATTGCATTGGGGAATAACCACTGTAAAACGCAGCTGGTTCTTGCAAGCCTAATTCGTACACAATTCTTTCTCCATTAAATCTGATATCAAATAACTGTGCACCTGATGTGGTACGAACACGAAAATCGAAACTCCATCCCATGTATTCAATATGATTGTTTTCTGCTGTGTAACGTTTACCATCCGGTTCAAATTGTTCAGTTTCGCGTAATGGTAGTGAAGGTTGAAGATATGTTCCTCGTCTTTTCAGAGTGGAGAATGTGAGATCTTTTCCTTCAGGAGCTGGAAGATTCATTTTTGTGATATTTCCATGTTTGTACAACTTGATAAATTCATCCACTGAATCAAAAATTCTTTTATTGTAGTAGACCTGAAATGAATGAATTAGAAACCAGTTGACTATCGTGAATGTCAATTATTTTTCATTCGAAAGTGAAAGTGCTCAGTATTAATTGACAGGGCAAAATAATAAAGTTTCCTTTCAATTTCACTTAGCCGTAAAAAAGCGAAGCTTCTCCGAGTAACGCGTAAGTAGTGGGGTTAGCCATCAACGACATTTTGTACGTCAGTTTCAATCCCACACAATTTTTTCACAGCGCGGTCAGTAGGTTAATCTTTGTAACTGCCTATAAAGAAAGATTACAGAAGAAACAGTATCTTTTCATAACCAAAATAATTAAGTCGATTAATAACGCAAGTTTTTTTAAGCCCATAGTATTTGTTCAAACATCGAAAAAGTTCCGGTTTTGATAGTCAGTTAATACGTGGGGGGTAAGAGATCGTATAGAAAATATTCCTTGATAGTTCGACTCGATCGAGTAATATGCGATGACCTGGTGATGACTGGCGACTTTCGTTAGCAACTGTCGTAATTACTTTGCGAGTGAGTAGCAATTATATTGTAACCAGAATGACTGCGTAGTAAAATATCATTAACAAGAACAGAACACATGCATTCGATTTTTAGCTAACCTGCACTTTATTGCAGAAGAGCTATATATTGCCAAAGACATAGTCTGGCGTCCGCGTCCACAGCAGAAGATAAGGTGAATGTTAATATCCCACTTTCAATTTAATATTCTGTTCACTTTTTAAATGTTTACCATCTGTCACGCAAGATCACGATGTAAGAGGAAGGGGGGAGGGGGAGATGGGGGAAGAATGCTGAACTTCAAAATGATATGGTCAACGTTAAGGCGCCAAATGTTTAACATTATATTGCTTTATACCAGAAGATATACTCAAACAGTACTATACGTCCTTCATATATGGTGTGACAGCAATGTCCCACTTGTGGATAAACATAATATTAAGTTGGGTTTGCTGGTAATTAATGATAAACCTAGCCATGCAGTTAATAGTCAACCTCACAAGCCAGGCTCTCTACTTCCGCTTCCATCCCTAACAAGCCTGCGAACAGGCTCTTTGAATTAATTAGATTTCAAAGAGAGTTCAAAGAGAATATATACATTTCAAGACCTAACCAGGAACGACTGCGAAAAATGCAGCACAAGGTCCTCTGGTAGGAATTCAACCTACGGCCCTGAGATTTCGGTGCAGCGCTCTAACCAACTGAGCTACAGCTAGATAGATAGATAGATAGATAGATAGATAGATAGATAGATAGATAGATAGATAGATAGATAGATAGATAGATAGATAGATAGATAGATAGATAGATAGATAGATAGATAAATAGATAGATAGATAGATAGATAGATAGATAGATAGATAGATAGATAGATAGATAGATAGAGACTTTATTTAAAGAGGGTGACACTTAATACTACGAAGTACTAATGAACTTGTGGCCCTCATAAAATTTACAAAAAATTAGGGAGTATATCTAAAAGGTTATTATATTACATGAGGTATATATGACATTACATTTATATAAAAGAGAACATTAGCTATATTACAATTATATATTACTTAAATTTGAAATCAGGAAAAGAAGTAAATTGTTTAAATTTACTCTGGTGCGTACGGAAGCAAGTATTTAAAACATTTAATGGAGCTAGCAGAACGGAAACTTAAAGGTAGTCTGCTCCAGAGGCCTATAGGGCCAGCTGTTAAGCTGTAACCGTAAGTTCATCTATATATAGGTAATCGGGTGTGCGGGTTGTGATAAGGTGGACTTCACGACTTAGATTCTTGCGCTTCACTTGGTGGAATTAATATTAGAATGTTAGGGTTTGGAATCCAAGTGAGAATATAAACATTTTAAGACCTAACCAGGAACGACTGCGAAAAATGTAGCACAATGTTCTCTGGTAGGAATTGAACCTACGGCCCTGCGATTCCGCTGCAGGGCTCTAACGAACTGAGCTACAAAGGTCAGCTGTTAAGCTGTAACCATAACTTCATGTATATATAGGTAATCGGGTGTGCGGGTTGTGATAAGGTGGGCTTCATGACTTAGATTCTTGCACTTCACTTGGTGGAATTAATATTAGAATGTTAGGGTTTGGAATCCAAGTGAGAATATATACATTTTAAGACCTAACCAGGAACGACTGCGAAAAATGCAGCACAAGCTCCTCTGGTAGGAATTGAACCGACGGCCCTGCGATTCCGGTGCAGCGCTCTAACCAACTGAGCTACAGAGGTCAGCTGTTAAGCTGTAACCGTAAGGTTACAGCTTAACGTCCTGGTTAGGTCTTAAAATGTATATACTCTCACTTGGATTCCAAACCCTAACATTCTAATATTAATTCCACCAAGTGAAGTGCAAGAGTATAAGTCATGAAGTCCACCTTATCACAACCCCCACACCCGATTACCTATATATACATGAACTTACGGTTACAGCTTAAGGGCTGGCCTCTGTAGCTCAGTTGGTTAGAGCACTGCACCGGAATCGCAGGGCCATAGATTCAATTCCTACCAGAGGACCTTGTGCTGCATTTGTCGCAGTCGTTCGTGGTTAGGTCTTAAAATGCATATATTCTCACTTGGATTCCAAACCCTAACATTCTAATATTAATTCCACCAAGTGAAGTGTAAGAATCTAAGTCATGAAGTCCACCTTATCACAACCCGCACACCCCATTACATATATATACATGAACTTACGGTTACAGCTTAACAGCTGGCCTCTGTAGCTCAGTTGGTTAGAGCGTTGTACCGGAATCGCAGGGCCGTAGGTTCAATTCCTACCAGAGGACCTGGTGCTGCATTTTTCGCAGTCGTTCCTGGTTAGGTCTTAAAATGTATATATTCTCACGCGGATTCCAAACCCTAACATTCCAATATTAATTCCACCAAGTAAAGTGTAGGAATCTAAGTCATAACGTCCACCTTATCACAACCCGCACACCCGATTACCTATATGTACATGAAATTACGGTTACAGCTTAACGGCTGGCCTCTGTAGCTCAGTTGGTTAGAGCACTGCACCGGAATCGCAGGGCCATAGGTTCAATTCCTACCAGAGGACCTCGTGCTGCATTTTTCGCAGTCGTTCCTGGTTAGGTCTTAAAATGTATATATTCTCACTTGGATTCCAAATCCTAACATTCTAATATTAATTCCGCCAAGTGAAGTGCAAGAATCTAAGTCATGAAGTCCACCTTATCACAACCCACACACCCGATTACCTATATAGACATGAACTTACGGTTACAGCTTAACAGCTGGCCTCTGTAGCTCAGTTGGTTAAAGCGCTGCACCGGAATCGCAGGGCTGTCGGATCAATTCCTACCAGAGGAGCTTGTGCTGCATTTTTCGCAGTCGTTCCTGGTTAGGTCTTAAAATGTATATGTTCTGACTTGGATTCCAAACCCGAACATTCTAATATTAATTCCACCAAGTGAAGTGCAAGAATCTAAGTCATGAAGTCCACCTTATCACAACCCGCACACTCGATTACCTATATATTCATGAACTTACGGTTACAGCTTAACAGCTGAACTTTGTAGCCCAGTTGGTTAGAGCGCTGCACCGGAATCGCAGGGCCGTAGGTTCAATTCCTACCAGAGAACATTGTGCTGCATTTTTCGCAGTCGTTCCTGGTTAGGTCTTAAAATGTATATATTCTCACTTGGATTCCAAACCCTAACATTCTAATATTAATTCTACCAAGTGAAGTGCAAGAATCTAAGTCATGAAGTCCACCTTATCACATTCCGCACACCAGATTACCTATATATTCATGAACTTAAGGTTACAGCTTAACAGCTGACCTTTGTAGCACAGTTGGTTAGGGCGCTGCACCGGAATCGCAGGGCCGTAGGTTCAATTCCTACCAGAGAACATTGTGCTGCATTTGTCGCAGTCGTTCCTGGTTAGGTCTTAAAATGTATATATTCTCACTTGGATTCCAAACCCTAACATTCTAATATTAATTCCACCATATGAAGTGCAAGAATCTAAGTCATGAAGTCCACCTTATCACAACCCGCACACCCGATTACCTATATATACATGAACTTACGGTTACAGCTTAACAGCTGACCTTTGTAGCTCAGTTGATTAGAGCGCTGCACCGGAATCGAAGGGCCGTAGGTTCAATTCCTACCAGAGGAGCTTGTGCTGCATTTTTCGCAGTCGTTCCTGGTTAGGTCTTAAAATGTATATATTCTC